GCGCAAAACACGCGAACCGAACCGAGACAGTCGAACCGAACGGTTCGGACGGTTTTCAAAAACCGTTCCATCCCTATTCTGTAGCACTGGTGACATCATCAACGCAAACCGAGAGTGATGATGTTACCAGAAATGCAGCGGAGGGGGGGACAGAGGCCTGAAAACACGCATAAATGCGCTATTTTCAGTGAGAAAGACGCTTTACTGGAGGAACAAAAACAAAGTTAGTTGTGTTACTACTAATGTAGGGACGACAGGTTAATGATAAATCTATTAACATGTCAGAAGAAATTGCTTCTGCCAAATACTCTTCCCTCCATTAAAGACATTTCATCCCAGCGCGGCGTGTCCTGTGACATCATCAATGAAAGCACTAATGAATCGTTTAATACCAATCAAGAAAACTGCACAAATACCAATCCAAGATATCGGTGGTCTCCTGTATCCCTAAAACCAATCTTCCAACTCATTCTGTCTCATTCTTGCGTCACCTTGGACACGCACCAGTTTTCACCTCTCTTCTGTACCAACATGATACTGTTCTAATGTGGACTCTGGTTATGACAACATATTGGGTTTAATATCTAAAAAATATTCCCTGCCCAAACAGTGGAGGAGAAGGGAATACATTTTTCATCAACAAGGGAATCTCACAAAAGAACAAAAGACGTGCTGCGCGTCGGCTGAGATGAGAGGAACCTGTTCACAGCTCAGCGAGTGCACAATCTGCAGTGTCACCAGAAACTGCTGACACCTTAACAAGGCTGCATCCTCAACGTACACAAACCCGTCCAACTGGGAAGCAAATAAATCACAACTTCAGATCTGCTGATTTTAACGGCATCTCTGGTTTTTCCTGCTGTGGGATACAGAGGTCTTGCTAATGTCTTCTTCCGTCTACCTCAAACTCTCTGTACCCATCGCCATCTGAGGAGCAGGAGCCCTCCATGACCTGGGGGGGGGTGTTAACAGTGAAAGGGATCTTGAATAAAAACACACAGAGCCGTCTCCTTAGATCAAGGCGGCCCTAAGGTCCCATGTTGTCTCTGCCTGGGAGTACGACCCAACCCTACTTCCACCACGGACACACATGCAAGCTCTACCCACACAGCTGTCAAAACCCTGACGTCTTAATCAATCCTGGATCCCCGACCCTGTCAGACACAGCAGTAAGATGGATGCAGAAGAGGGCGACCCCTGACCTTCACCAGGGGAGGAGAATACAAGTCTTCTGTGCCCCATAAGCTCCCCCTCGGCTCCCTTTTCTCCCCAAACATCAGCATCCTCGCTCGGCTCTCCTGCCACCCAAACAATGACAGAGGAGACCCCATTCATCTTAGGCTGGGAACCAGAGGCCAAGGTGCCCTCGTAACCTTAGGCGTACACAGGAGGAGAAGGACTCACAAACACACAACTTTATGCAACTTTGCAACGTCTAGCACAGGCAACCTTTAAGGATAGGCCGACCGACCAACTGAAACTCAGCGAAAAAACCCACCCTGCCCCCAAAACAAGCTTCTGTCTGAGCATGTTGGTCAACATCTCCTTAGAGGAGCTGAGCGTCTCTCCCATCGAGCCTGTCACTCGTGGGAATACTAACCAGCTCATCAGTGCACTTGACGACCAATAGTTGGCAACACCTTTGAACCCCGGAGTCAGCGGAGTTCATCCACTCTGACACGTCAGGCTGCACCCGAGGCACATGGCCCCCCTGAGCCTGGAGGAAAGTGAAACGTGGAAAGATAAACTGAAGCTAAAAGGTAATGGAGTGGCTGGCATTGTTAACTTAAACACAATCAAGGAGCTGCAGTGATATTTGAGCTAAATGGATACACTGGCTTAGAAAAGCAACCGAGTGTCAGAGAGAAATTGGCAAAATACGACAAGACTGCATTAGAGCCATTAAATCTATGGCTGTGTGTTCATACTGTAAGTTACAGCTACTTATCTCTACGGGAATAAAGGCGATAAGGAGACTACTTTAATTTCACAAGGCATGTGATACAGTTGACTGTATGGGATGACGGTATGACTGTAAAGAACGTTGCACTGTGCCAAAAAGGAATTACTTCAGCATCCAACCATGTTTTGATCTTTTTGTTACTCATTTTTTTAAAGGGAAAACCTGGCAGGGTTCATCTGAGATTAGTAACAGCGGAGCTTTTTTTTTTTGGCCAAGCATACAAAAGGAACCCCAAAATCCCATCTGTGACTACTTGAACGCCTCTACCCCACCCTACACCCAGGCAGCCAGTGGCACCCCTAAATCACCAGACCTGTTTGTCATGCAATTAGTCCTCCAAGATAAAGACTCCCTCGTAAATTAGGAGAGCCTACCCCCCACCCCCACGTTAATCACCCGTGCCCAGCCTCTGACCCCTTACCGCAGTGGCCAACTGCTTTTTGTATGTGACTGCGATAGGCTTGTTGGAGGTGTCTACCAATAAAAGGGCAGCCGCCCTGTTGGACAACCCTTAAAAACCCTCAACGTGTTCCAGAAAAGTTGTGCTGTGCCACATGTGTTCTGCTTCATGGTGTGTGCAATGAAATGAGCAGAAGGTCGAGCAAATACTAAGAAATTACAGCTACACTAGCAGCCATTTAAAATGGCCCTTCCAAGTCAAAAGTCAGCCGAATGGCAGCAAAATCCCCTCCAACTTCCAGCCACTGGGCATCCATATTTTATTTTACTCTGAGTCCACCCTTTCACTGAATTACAGGGTCTGACCAGGAAATAACACTACTCTTTAGATCTAAATCTCCACAAGTCATGACAGAAAGAATATTTTAGATGTTTAAAAAGGAATCGTATGGGGCCAGCCAAGGTCCAGCCAAGGACCAGCCAAGGACCAGCTAAGGACCAGCCCAGGACCAGCTAAGGACCAGTCAATAAACAGACAAGGAACAGCTAAGGACCAGCCCAGGACTAGCCAAGGACCAGCCCAGGACCAGCCCAGGACCAGCCCAAGACCAGCCAAGGACCAGCCAAGGGCCAGCCCAGGACCAGCTAAGGACCAGTCAATAAACAGCCAAGGACAAGCCAAGGACCAGCCCAGGACCAGTCAATAAACAGCCCAGGACCAGCCCAGGACCAGCCCAGGACCCATCAAGGAAAATTTAGAATGGCTACTACTGTAAATGTTCTGTCTTTAATGCTATCATGAACCAAAGACCTCTTAAATTGTCCACATTTGCTTTCTCCAAACAAACAGCACAATTCCAGAACATTTCACTGCAGTATTTTCACTCCTTCCAAGCATGCCTGGAATCATAAAGCCCTTTTTTCTTTCACTCACTTTACACCAAAGCTGTCTATCTCCTTTCAAGGCTCCACTGGGAGCAGGAGAGAAACAGGTGGGGGTGAAAGACGCTGCAGCGCTGTAAACCGGTCGGAGCTCAGCGCTCCACTCCAAGTTTCACCAGCCCTCCTGGGATACATCCCTTTGCACACACCTCCCGGTGGGCTTGCTAATTACTCCACTTACAGTCCTCATTGCTTCTATCATCCAAGCACAATGTGAAAGGAAGAGTGGAGAAAGCAAGTGAGCGAGAAAAAAACACATTTCAAACAGAGTGCAAGGAAGGAAGGCATAAAAGAAAGAGACAAAACAAAAAAATGTAGGTGAGGAAAGGAAACAGTAAAGGACTGGAGGGAAAGTGGTTTGGATTTTGTGGCTCTGCTGATCTAAAAATTCAGTTTAAGGTTAAAACAAAGACAGTGGTTTACCTTGGCATTCTGAATTGCGCTCCTCATATCCAGGGTTGCACAGGCAGATTCCAATGGGCACCAACCACTCTCCATCAGCTCCGCAATACATCTTAGGATCATCCCTCTCCTCTGAATTATCCACACACGAGCCACGAACTTCCACTAGCGAGGAAGTATCGGCACCAGTGATGGTATCAGGAAACTGGGCCAAGTTCCGCACGGATAAAGGGCATTTCTTGTAGAAAACCCGGACGGAAACCAGAGCGATGCACGCTCCGACATCCTGGAACGCCAGATAAAAACCCTTCCTTGTCAGGGCGCCCACGTCCCGAACCTCCGTGTTCAGCTTCATGATGCGGTCCCCGATATCCACCTGAGTGAAGCTCTCGTCAGCAGCGATGGTGTCTATCTTGCTGAACTGGTTCTCGCGGATGTAGCGCTCTTTGTCATTGTTGGACTCGTAGTAGTAAAGGTTGAAGGTTTCCTTGCAGGTTCCCATGACCCCTGGCAGGCTGTTGCAGTCCCGCAGGGTGAATTTGATCTCGATGTAGACGCGCTGGGCACCTCCACGGGGGATCCAGTCAGTACGAAGCCAGTTGTTCTGATTTGGCTCCATGACATTGCACACCTGGTACGTACGGATGGGGATGTTCTTTTCATCCATAATGCTCACTTCCTCCCACTGGGGACGAGAAGAAAAACATTACAAGGAGATTCAAACTTGATGGATCTTATAACTTACCAGGGGTGGGCAATCCTAGTTCCTGAGGGCCGCTATCCTGCAGCTTTCATATTTGTCCTCGGCCAAACACTCCTTAATCAAATGCCTGAATTACCTCCTCAGCACGCTGTCAGTTTCTGCAGACCTCGCCATCATCTAATGGAACAAGGACACCTCTAAAATTTGCAGGATAGCCGCCCTAAGGAACTTGAGTTGCTCACCCCTGAAGTCTTAGGCCTTACGCCACAGACATAATAATCAAGAAGAACAGGACTGTTCAGTTCTTTTAACAAAAAAGAAGCATTTGACTCTTTTACTCAACGTTAAAGCTAACTTATAAGATATGTTTTATGTTTGGCGCATAATAGACTTTATGCGGAATCTCAAGAATCCTTTTATTTAGCACTTACCCTCAAGTATAGGAAGGTGAAGTTAATTAAATAGATCTTGGAATCCTGAGGTTGTGAGTCCGAAACCTAGCCTCGTGAGACCATCCTGATCTCGCGAGCTTTCAAGGTTTCACTCGCAGATCAGTCTGGAGACTCTCCGTTAAAGAAAATTTGGAGCAGTTCACCAAACGAACGTCCAATCAGCGTTGGCTTTGAGGCGGGTTGAGGTGTGACGCAACGAGAAGCGCGACAGTTCGGTCTAAAGAACATGGCGGCTTCAGCCGATGATTGTGCCTTTTATTCGCAAATTATCTTTACATAAACGGCAAATATCCTTTGCCGACATGTTGCGTATTTGCTGAGCTAACAAGCCTTTACCTGAAGCAGCAAGAGTTAGCCTGGCTTGTGGTTGTGTTTTCGTTGTCGCTCTGTTAGTACGTCATATGCTTCGTTGATCTGATTGGTTTATTTGGCCCGTCTATCACCAACATAGGCCAATCAGCTAACCAGTATTTTCGCCCCTTCCCAAAATTACTTCAACGGAAGGTTTCCAGATGGATATGCGGAGCAAATCCAGCAAATCCATCTGGCGGAGTCAGGTTATCCAAAACCAACTGCCAATGACCTCTACTCTGGGTCTCTGAGCAAGACCCTTAACTCCACACTGTCCCATGGGCGCCACACAATGGCAGCCGACTGCTCTCCAAGGGGAGGGGTTAAATGCAGAGGTAAAGTTCAGTTATTATCATTAATATTTTTTGCCTCAACCGTCTTCAGTTCAATTGCTTTGGGACCAGAGAGTAAAACAACTTCCTGCACACACATTAGCAATGACAAGGCTGTTCCACGACATTAGAGACGTTATGAAGGAACGAATGCCACAGTGGGATCACACAGATGTAGAAAGTCTTTGAACAAGTGCTAACGATGTAATGCGACCAGGCCTGCTTCCTGTCTGCGTAATGGAAGGCGACCCGGAGGCCGAGGCGAAACGTGTTCGCTGAGGTTAGCATGAACTCCCGGAGAGAAGGGAGGCACTGATCTGAGGCGTATGGGTTATTTTACCCTGTGCAATTTAGCTTATTTTTGCCAAAAACGGACTGTTTGTTTTACTTATGATAAACTCCCCCCCCCATGCCTCTCTATAGAGGCGCTCTGCTGAGCAAACGTGAGGCCTCATCTTGAGAGGCTCAGGGCACGACGCTTCCCCTCGAGTCGTGCTTTTTGAAAAAGAGTCATCGTCTGAGCCGGACTGGAAACAGAAGCAGCTTTTAGAAAAACAGAAGATCTGGGATGATGGGAGGAATGGGCGACGCTGGCAGATGTGTCTCAGAGGCTAATCGTAAACACTCTGGATTAAAACCTAATTTCCCAGGAGGAGGAGGGGATAATACTAAATACATCTGCAGCAGAAAACGTCTATCATTCCCTGCTGTTCCTTTCCACTCTGCTCCCTTCCCTCTGTGCCCCCCCCACCCCCACCCGCCCCCCTTTTGTTGTGGAAATCTAGCGGCGCTGAGATAAGGCTGCCCCTTTTCCTGATAGCAGGAAAGAGGCAGAATGAGATCAATTGGTCATAATGAGAGGGTGAACGCAGGCTTGCAGGAGCTGCCAGGACCCCGTCAATCAGCGGTTTATGATAAAATGGCTGATAGCGGGACTGCGTCGCTCAGAGAGGCTCACGCTCTGTGTCACAGATCTGATTCTGTCAATTTGGAGTCACATTTTTCAAAGCAATCAAAATCTTTTTAAGGAAATTCAGCATTTTATCCAGAACCTCCATATCTAATATCAGGCTGTGGTATCACGCATTCTTCTTCTTTGGTTTGTAGTTGAGGCTGAAGCCCTCGGCACTTTCCGCCTTTTTCATCCGTTCCAGAGGACCCTAAGCTGCCAAGCTCCCCCCCCCCCCTCAGCTGAAAGGGGGACAGGGATATAAAGTTTCCCCACAAAGACCGATTCAACCCAACTTCTATTCGGGAAACCTGACGCCCGCTGCAGTATCAGGCCCTGCATCTGACCATTACTGAGCGCTTAGAGGCGAGGCGAGGGAGCAGAGAGGAGAAAATAATATATTCTGGAAGCTAACGGGCCCCTCCAGGTGTTCCGAAGCGTCTCCACATGGATAACCACGGCATCAGGTTTCATCCAATCAATTTTCGGTGCATCTTAAATGAAACGATCTCACCCCGAAGAACCAACCCGCTAAACGCTCCGATGTTGCAAAAAGTTTGAAAGTCGCCTTTAAAAATTCAATGGATTTTATTGGGTCTTGAGAGGAAAAAAAAAAAAGTATCAAACAAAAACTGCCCCTCCTCCACCTGTTGCTGTGCACAGTCAGCTGGATTTAAAGGGGGCTGCTACACTTTTTACAATCAATCACAAGGAGCAAAAACAAATATTGGTGTGAAAATCTTTGACGGTCTTAAGAAGGGAAATAAATCAACAAAAGAACCAAATCCAACAAATATTGAAGGTTGATCTTATTTTAAAGCTTAAAAAACAACCAAGAAATGTTCTGTAGAGCAGCCTGCCGCCACAGCAGACAGCTTGATTTACACAACACTTTATATCAATAAAAAAACTAGTTAAATGTAGTTTATGAAAAGTTTTCCACATAAAACTCTCAATTTCACAATAATAATTGATATTTTAAATGCTTTTATTCTTTTTTTTAACTATATACTATCATAAGCCTTTGTTTAATGGATTTTTGGTTTGTTTATGTCCCTGATGAAGCCGATATTCTGACAGGTTCAACAGATGATGCAGTAAATCTGCAGAAACTGATGAAATGATCTCAGTGTGGGAAAAAAAAAGTCCAAACCTGCAGGAAACAAAAATCAAAGGCTGTCTTCCATGTTTGTGACTTTAGGATACCTACCCCTCCTTCTGTCGGGCTGGCCACCCATCCCAGCTCCCCCTGAACAGCCCTGGAGTCCAGTAACGTGACTGGAAAACAAGAACGGAGCCGTTAGCGCGCAGAACGCGCAGCCTGTCCACAAGGCACCAGCATTTATCATCCAATAGATCCAACACATGGAGGGAAACAACAACATCACACCCAAAACATTATAAACATTATAAATATAACATATATAAGGATGCGGGGAGGGAATTAAAAGCTTTTTCTCTGCGTGTTTCTGCGTTAATCCCCCGCGTTCGGATTGACTTGTTCAGGAAAAGGATTTATGCATTTTTTAAATAAAACTCTGAGAATAAAATATAAGAAAAAAGGAAATATGAAAAACCTGAAGAAAAAAAAAATTCAGGAGTTTTCTGTTGATTTGGACCAAAACTAAATAATCTCAGATAGAAATATTCGGATTAAATTCTCTTTTCTCACACTTTAAACTAATAATCTGTTTTTTTTCTTCATAGATCCGGAATCATAGGAGCTGCTTTTCGCTCAGTTTATTTCAAACTTCTCAGGAAGTCACACATGTTCCCCTTTTTGTGAAATAAAACTGTGAATGTTTTTGCGCACCTTCCTTTTAATTAATTCTACTTTCTTTTCTTTACTTGCATTTAAAATAAAAATCCTCCATCTTCCACCAGAGAGACACTAACAGCGATCATTTCCCTCTCTGCTGCTTTTTGTTTTTCCTGTTTTCTATCATTTAAACCCATTTTGAGTTGAAATCGGCTCATTTCTCTGTCTGCTTTTAGCGCCCAGAGCTGCGTCGGGACCACAGGTCTTACTTCTTCATGCACCCAGAGCTGCCTGTGCAACTAAGACCTAAACCAGCAATGCGCATCTGTCTTTATGCTAGAAAAGAAAAATAGAAATGTCATCTTAGTTGGGGTTTTTTTTTAACTCTTGAAGGGGCCCCGTCCAAACGGCTCCAGGGGCCAAAGGCAGCAGGCTCTGCGGCGCAAACAGGATGGAGCCTGAAGTCCGCTGCGGTCTCCTTACCTTCATTTGGAGGATAAATCCGAGCGGAGGAACCGAGCGCAGAAATCCCAGAAATCAGAAAGGTGACCGTGAACAGAATCCCTGCCATGAGTGCCATTTGCGACGCGGCTCCGCGTTTTTCCTCTCTTCTTTTTCTCGCGTTTCTCCTCTCTGTGGCCCCGCTCTCTCTCTCCCTCTCTCTCCCTCTGCCTTTCCCAGCGGATTATGGTTTGAAGGAGAGAGACGCACTGAGCGCTCCACAGGCTGGAGGCGGGTCTGTGCGTCCTGACGCGCAGCCCGTCATCCAAGGAGGAAACTTTGGGGACAAGTGAGGGGCCAGCAGACCCTCATTAATACCCCCCCCCCTTCCAAGTTTCATTAGTCTCCTTATTAGTCTCTCAGATAAACATCAGATTCATTGAAATAAACAGAAAAACCGGATCTAAGCAGTTTTATCTTTTTTCGCCTCATCTTTTCCTCCTCATGATCAAACCGAGCTTCCTATAAATCTGCAGGACTGAGTCTGATCCCGTCCTCTGTGCGGGGCTGATCCCGCATGTCTGCAGACCGAGGTCGCCACCTAGCGGACACTTTCAACACGACTTCTGCCTCCAGAATTGGATTAAAAACAAGCATGGAGCTGACCTTGCCTCGCATTACAAGGTAAAGCACTTTGTTCAAATTGACACGAGCTGCTCTGAGATCACTGCTGAACATGTCGGAGTTAATGTCCCTTTGTCTGGTTTTACACCATAAATTACTGGAAGAGTTTAAACTGGAAAAACTGGTGTTTAGGTGGAAAGAGACGTTTACTTTATTATTCTGTTAATGCCAGAGAATGAAACAGGCAACAGGGAGTTCATTTTTGAATAACTCTCTATTGTAGTGGATGGAATGTACATTCAATTCTATTCAGTTTATTTCTATAGCTCCAATTCCCATCATGTCATCTCAGGTCACTTTCCAGTTCACCAGATCATCCAGTCAGATTGATTCAAAGTTTTCTATCTAAGGAAAACCAGCTGATTGCATCGACTCATTTGCCGTTTCTCAATATGCGTTCT